GACTATATAATCATATTACATCACAACAACGTACTTCTATCTAACCATATAAGTAACTATTAGAATAAATATATATGTTTGTGATAATCAATTGCCTTATTACAAAATACAGTTCTTGTTGGTTACAATCCAAGTTACATCATGTTCTCCATACATGAATCAAAACTTTGCTAAAAAAATCTCCATATTATCTAGTATTGGTTCTTGTCATTCAAGAAAAGATGAAAACCACAATAATGCTGAACTTGAAAGAAGTGTATCAATTAATCTAACTTATGATCCTAAAGTTGGATAGCTTTGGAATTGAAGTTCAATCTTAAATTATATTTGGTTGATAAATCTTCAAAACTTAGAACTTGTGCCATCAAACTTCACAAACAAGGCAACTCGTGGTTCTCTAGTACTGGAAGGATTCTTTGTCATAGGAGAAGGAACATGATTTGGTACAGATGTTGAAGCAACTCCAATCATATCTATATCTTCACTTCCTGCAATTCTTGTAACTTCTTGTGGTGGTAAATTGAGTTGATGCATCGCAAGGATTAACTTCATCAATTGTTCTTGCATTCCTGCTATTGCACTCTTCATTTCAACAAGCTCTACTATGATAATATTTAGAAATAAAATAATATCTAATATTGCTCAGGATAAGTAAAAGAGAGGACTGGAGAACAAAAGAGATACTAAGAATAATATTAGTTTAGAAGAGGGATAATCTGTAACTTCTAATTTGCTTATGTTTTATCAAGAAAAAAGAATAATATACTATTAATCAAAAAAAGACAAAGCTCTAATATTATAAGTGTATTCTTTTCAATTTGTGAAGGACATGAATTGAAAGAAGATGCATAAATGTGAAAAATTTGTGTCAAAAGAAAATTGATAAAATAAAAATAAAATAGTATGTATATTAAAAAGAAATTGAAATGGCTATTGTCAAAAGATAAGGAAACTAGAGACACTTGAATCTAGACTAGAAACAAAAAAGTAATTGACAAGAGTGAAGAGGGCTTCACTCTTGCCTCTATATATAGTGTCTAATTAGGACCTATCTGGCAATGGTCTATATGATTTTTAATATGTGTTGATTTTGCATGACATGTATCTTAACTTGTAAGATAAGTTTTCTATATAGCCACCACATACTTAACTTGTTTTGTAAGCTACTAACATGTGTGGCAAATGAGTAGCTTGTTGATCAAGTTTTTAATCTATCAATCAACTTCTAACATATGAAAAATGAAAACAACATCTAAAAAGCTTCTAAGAAGCTTATTTAGAAGGTATTATGAAATTAATCTATTTTTATCTAATTCTACCTACTTAGGTATCTTGTAGGTATATATTCGTGATAGGTAGAGTCATTTTTGAGAAATTTCTAGAATTTAGGTTAAAGAGGTGATTTATATAGGATCTGCCATAGAACCTTCTAAAAAGGCTTAAGGTAATTATCATGGTGGGATCCATCTCTAGAATCTTTTAGAGGGGCGGTTATCTTGGTAGAAACGACTAATATAGAGATTTTAGAAAATTCCAAAATAGTTGAATAAAATATGAATAAGTTTGATTCAAGTCATTTGTGCATTCTATTAGGTATGGCTTTAGACTTTTTCTCTTAGTAAAGTTTGGTTTTCTTGTTTTGATCTATTTGATTTTGTTTGATTTTATTTGATTCTATTCTCTTCTACTTAATTTTGTCTTGTACATTCTATTCCATTTAGTTACTTTTGGTTTTTTTTTGGTGTTCTTGGTCTTATATTATATCAAGATCTTTGTTATTATGGATTTAATAAGTTTTTAGACCTTAGAGAATTTGGTCCGATTTCAAATGGGTTTTCATTTTTATCAAATGAATTCATATTTTGTAGAGTTCACAACTCATTTTATAGTTCAGTGTTGCGTTTTACAATTGATTAGAGAGTTCTATCAAGTTCTTATAGTGGTTCATGATAGTTGTACAGGTAGATCTTTATTTTCATTAAAAAATTTGGTCTTCTTTGAAGATCTTAGGGCAATCCAAAGGGCTTTTTTCAAATGATGAGGGCATTGTACATTGCTGGTGATAAGATTGGAATTATATGAATTCTTGTCAAGGATGATCGTTTGATTTATTGTTATTTTTTTTTGAAGAGCTCTTACTTCATGATTAGAAATATATAGTAGAATAGGCCTTCATACTAGTGGCTGATGATCATATACGAAAAAAAATTATTATTAATAAAACTAAAAATTAAAAATTAAAACTTTATTGTTAAAAATAAAAAATTAACAAATATTGCAAATATAGGATGTGGCAATACTATCCTAGCTTTTTCCAGCAATGTGTACAACTTTTTGGTGATGACAATTTTTGCTTGTATTGCAATGCATTGCAGAAAGAGTCTATGCTACTATAAGAACTATATATGAGTATACTTGTATGTAACTTGAAGGAGACTTTTTAGATGTTAAGTTGATTGAGGTATGTCATTTTAGTTTTTAATTTCTATAGTAAGATACAAGATTTGGATATTAATATTTTATTTTTCAATTAAAATTTTAATTATTGATGTGATAGAGTTTCATATAGAATTTGTGCAAGAGTCGCAGTTTGTAAGCATATTTTATTTATTAATCAGGTGGTGTCATCTCATGGAATGTAATTGCATTACTCAAATATTGTATCTTGTATGTCTTTAAATTATACACTAAAGAAAAATATGCCAAATTATATTTTGTGAATGTAATTTATTGCATTTTATAAATATAATTTATTCTATTATGTGAAAATGTAATTTATTCTATTTTATTAAGTTTGTGTTGGATTTTGTGAAATAGATTTGATTTAGAAGTTACATCACTATAAATTCAAGTGTAATGCTACTTGATATACATCTCTTTTTTTCTCTTCTTTCTTTCTTTTGTATTCTAGAATTACTTATATTTACAAAATGATGTCTTTATTCTTTACTTTTATTATTGTTATGAATATTGTGAGGTTTAACTTTGGAGGTCTTGCAAGGCAGTGGTTAGATTTACATTTGATTTATTGTTTTATTTTTTGCCAGTAGAGTTGAGGAGAGGATGTGAAGTGGTTTTGTATTTTTTTTCTTTTCTTTTGATGTTTCAAAATATGTATCAAAGCTGATAAATCATATCTCATTTCAATTTGCAACTTGAGAAGTTTCAAAGTTAAGTAGGGTGTTATATTCTTCCATGTTTACATTGACTTCATGAAGAATAATAACTATTAAGAAACATATGGTGAAGGAACAATTATTAATTATTACTAAACGATGAGGTTGAAAGACATACATCTTAGCGAAAGGCCATGCTTTAGAAATTTCTTGTCTAATTTACAACAATAGGGAGGCAAAATCTAAAGACATTGATCCAATCTTTGTAAACAAGCAAACTTCTAGTTTTTTGAGTAGTGAAGGTAGCTTTCAACTCTATTGCTTGAAACACCAATTCCAAATTAGGGCTTTTATTCACAAATCCAATAAATTATCTTTGCCTTAAGTAGATTTTTTCACAAATCCATACTTTGAAGAGGATACATAGAATGTGGTAATTATCATCCTATTTATTCTTTTTATTCAAATGTGTAGTTTGTTTCTTTAAAATTTAATTTTTTCTTTTAAAATATAATATTTTGAAAGTAGATCATGATTTGGAGGTATTAGAGCAACAATCTCTATACTATTTTCATCACTAGGGCCTAACTTCCAAGGTTCATATTCTCAGGTATCAATGGTTTTAATCATAATTTGTTAATTGGACAAAATGATATGCACATTAAGATATTTGTGTTGAATTTAATTTATAAGAATGATTATAAGTATGTCTGTCAGATAACATGTAGCAAGTCAATGAAAAGTGAATAATGTGTGTGGACCTATAACTTGAGAGAGAAGATGTAAATTTGCTCAATATTACATCACCATTACATTTTGACAAAAGAAAGAGTGCATTATACCACTTAGCTTGAACAAAAGGTGTTTGTAAGTGAAAGCCCTCCAAGAACCATCAACTCTTGCAACTATGCTTAGCAAGGTAATTTGGCAATATCTACATTTTCTATCCCTCATATTGGAGTTGGTTTGTTAAACTTTGGACAACAGAGTAAAAAGATAGTACAAATGCCTACCTAAAAAACAAATATTTGTGAAGAGGATTCATACATCTTAATATATTTGACAATATTTAATTTTTATTAAATTTATTTATTTTATTTATTTTTCAATGCAAAGTTTTGTATGTGATGTCAGTTTCAAGGCATGTGGTACCACATGATGCAAATTTGCCAAGAATGAGTAGAACTTCATCTGTGATGAATCAAAGCTATTGTTGATTAAATTCTTGGCTTTGCTAAATGTTGTGTTCTTCCTTTCATCAAAGTCTCATTTCAGTGCCTACTCCACATTTTCAAATAGGAGTAATGCTTTACAATAGGAGTAATTGTCTCAAGTCATGCTCTCCTCCAACTAAACCATTCATCAAGGCTCACCAATACTGCACTCAAGAATGCAACATAGAATGCTTTTCTTGGGTAGATAATATACACTTCGCCTCCAATAAGGTTAGGATCTGAGGGGGCTTTGAACAATCAGATTTGCTCAAGTTTATGTGGTTCTTTGGAGAGAAGCCCACTCTCCCAAGTGAGACTCAAAGCGCAATGAGGGTTGGTACTGGATATAGGGCTTAGTCTCGAATTTCAAATTCTTGAGATTCTCTGACAATGGCATGGGTTCAACTAGTCCCTTATTAATGCACAAATGCACGACAACCCTGGCACATAAACACAAAACACCAAACTCAACAAAAACCAAACACCACAGATACAGGGGAGAAGTTTTGAGAGTTACTTCAGTGGACAACCATCAACATGACAGTCTGATTCTCTGTGCGAATCGCCGAGGTGGAAATCGCCATAGTCTGTAATCCTGTCCATGGATGAGATCTTGATTCACCAAAAACTCCCCCACTCACCGCATCGAAAAACTCCCCCACAAATCGCAATAAAAAACTCGCCTTTCGGCATGGATGCACGAAAAAGCCCGAAAGCCGATCGAATCGAACCCCATCAGCCTGTGCTCAGCTCAAAGCTGTGGATACGATCAATCGACTCTCCAGGTCACCGCAAATTGCTTCGCTTTGTTGGGACCTACATAATTTCAAGTTCACCACCGCATCGACATTGCCTACCCATTCACAGAATTCGGCTTGCTTCAGAAGAGTGTGTACAGTTCAATTCTTCGTGATGGCGTCCATCGTCGTCACCCCCGCTGCCTTCGCCGCAGCCTCGTCAGGCTTGTCGACCTCCCAGTCGACCTCCGCCAAGGCCTTCACGGGCCTCAAGAGCGCCACTCTGTTCCCCTCCAAGGCCCAGACGCTGAGCTCCGTGCAGAATGGCAGCCGCGTGCAGTGCATGCAGGTGTGGAACCCCATTGGCCAAACCAAGTTCGAGACGTTCTCGTACTTGCCGCCATTGTCCGATGACGCCATTGCCAAGCAGGTGGAGTACATGATCCAGCAGAAGCTGATTCCGTGCTTGGAGTTCGACGTGGTAAGCTGCGCGGGATGCTGACTTTGGTTTGCGTGTGACGTTAGCTTTGGGACAGGACAAAAGATAGATGATGTATGGGGATGGTGGTTGTTTCTCCTTGATGCTGGCGAGGCGAGGGAATGGATGTAGCAAGTAGGTGTGGTGGCAAGCGGTGTATGTGTGGAAGGTGCGTGTGTGGGTGAGTGAGTCGGAGAGCGAATTGTGGAAATGTAGAAATGTGGGCGTAGGATGTGTGGAGAGTGGTAGGCGGCGATGCATTTTCTGACGAGCGGGTGTGGGTGGGAGCAGAACTCGAACGGCGTGTCTCGCGTCAACAACTCATCGCCAGGGTACTACGATGGTCGGTACTGGACGATGTGGAAGCTGCCGATGTTCGGATGCCAGGACTCAGCGCAGGTGTTGAGGGAGATCGAGGAGTGCAAGAAGACGTTCCCCGGGTGCTACGTGCGCGTGTTGGGGTTCGACAACGTGAAGCAGGTGCAGATCTGCGGGTTCCTGGTCGCCAGGCCCAATTAAACTATTCGCCGAAACCACCTATGTCCGAGTTGTGTACATAGAGCATGAGTGAACGCTCAATCGCCAGTTTAGAATTCATTACGAATTTTGAAGGAAATAGTGAATTTGTGGCATCAGTTCTACAATGGATCGACTATGCAGTTTCGCCCTACTTCTCGTTTGTGGATTGTGCGCTGTACGTGTTGTCTCGCGTCCTGTGTGAATGTCGTTGGCTCTTGTGGGTGAGGTTCTGCACCCCTTTGTGGCTTTTCGCCAATAGCAACGGTAGGACATTTTCAACACGCTGAACCACTGAGAATAGCCGACATGATTCCGCGAGTTGATGTTACTTGTGAATATGTTAAATGTGTCGAGTCTGCATGAAACAATCGCGAGAGGGGCATTCATCTTGGGCATCGATAGTACTCCGATTGAGTTAGATTCTGGAGCGAGGGAGAAGATTGAATATTTATTTTAGCTTCCTCTCACTGCGGTGAGAAGTGGAATTGCCGACTTATGTCATGTATTTCTTCGGGACAGAGGTTGGTCACGTGGTTGTTAGTGTACATAACCTGTCACACGATAATATGCTGGACCAGTTGGGGGGGCCTGCAACACGTTACATAGTGGTAGTATTGGCTTGAGTTTAAGTAGACGAGTAGATACATGCCAATACGACTTCGAACTGCAAAATACGAAATCAACGCATGTGGTTTATGAAGAAGATGGAGTAAAAGACAACGTGTGAATGTGTTTGAGATTGTTGAAGGTGTGACACTCACCTTCAAATGTCGTTGCTCAGATTGTTGGTTGACACTTGTTGAATGCAAAATCTTGGAATCACATATTTTTTGAAACAACTGAAGTACTATCGAAGCCTAAGTATATCTATGGGAAAATGGTTGGGTTTAACATTTGCTTTACGTTGTTATGCACATTGGAACAAACTATGGAATCAATATTTTCCAAAAACACTTCTGTGAACATTGTACATTCATTCCTACAATCGTTAAAAGCAAATATGGAATCCAGAGACACTTTTGATACAAACTAGTTGGCATCAAATAGTGCTTTACTTTTGCATATATTTTTTAGAGTAGATTTTTGAATGAACATTATAATGTGGGATAGAATCTTGAAGTATTAGATTGTGCAATAACTTCTTATAAATATACACTGTTAGATTTTAAACAATAAATTTTAGATTGAAAAAATGATGTGGCTAGTCAAGTTAAATAATTGTTACCATTCAAGTCTTCTAGTTAATTCAAGGGCATCATATAGAATCTAAATCTATTTAGAATTTGATTCTTATAGCCTTTCTCATTCTATTGTTTCACCTTCTATAGATTTTAAGAAATTTTTCTTCTCTTAGATTTTAAGTATTCAAATTAGATGGGTATAGGTATATAAATTTAAATAGGCATGTGAAATAAAAATTAGAATTATCCAATATCTTTAAATAGATATAATAATAATTTATGAATCATCTCTTCTAAATCTTAATCTAAGAGAAGTTCAATTCTACTTATAGATTACCTAACTTTTTTTAATGGTAAGAAATAGATATGGAAGTATATAAAAATATTCTTACTTCTATCAACTTACATAATACATATCAAGATGTAGTAATTATTATCTTTTTATAGCCACCTTTGAAAATAAATAGGTAATATATCTTCAAATATATAATACATTTTAGAATCAAATGTGTGGATATTATTTACAATTTGTATAGTTAGTACTATTCTAATACATAGATTTGCTATAATGTAATAAAACTAAGTTTGATTCAATGGAGATTGGATTCTATCTTCTATTATTGTTTGTGGTTTTTTTATATTTGTAGCATAAAGGAGATAGAGAATAAATTACAAATAAATTCAACCCAAGAACTATTTTTTATTAAGTTACAATACAAGCAATTAAGTTTAGAGCATCTTTAAATACTTCATAATAGAATTGAAGATTCTTAAAACCAACATTTTTTTCCTCAAATAGATGGTAAGATACATCCCATTTGACATCACAATCTTGGAAGAGATTCTTGATGTTTGGTGGTACTATTAAAGGTAGGAACTAATCATGATGGTATTTCAAATATTTTATTTGAAGGAAGTTATGAAGGCCTTAATAATGAACAAATAATATTATAATCTTTTTACCTTGATATAGGACACTATTGATAGTTTTTAGGACCTATCAACTATCTACAAAAGAAATAAAGATTAGAATACTTGACAAATATAACTTGTCACATCTTGAACTTCTTCAATATATAATCACTACTCTTTATAGAACTTTTTTTGTGGAAGGAGAAGTAACATAAAAAATTAGCAAATTATTTAAAAGAAGAGGAGTTAGAAAGAAGTGAGTAGAAAAATTTAATAATATCTTCAAAAGAAGCTTCTTAGAAGTTTCACAAATATGGACTTGACTTTTCAAGTGTTTGTAGGTGATTGATAGGATAAAACCTTAGCCACTAAGTTGGCCATATAGTGCAAATATTGAGAACTTGTCTCGCAACTTAGACTCATGTTCTATATGCTGGACACATATTAGGTGACCTATAGAATGTTCTACATAGCTTCTCAATTCAGTAATATATAAAGAAGGAAAAATAAAGCCTTCATTACTCTTGTCAATGTCTTTCTTATTCTTAACCTTATTTCAAGAGTCTCTAGTTTTCTTATCTTTGACAAAAACTATTCTTGTTTCTTCTTAAATACACATGTTTTATTTATTTTTATTTATTTTTATCTTTCTTTAGCATACATCTTATTTTTTTATTTATATTTTTTAAATTTATCTCTTTAATATTTAGATTTAAAAATAACTTGTAGAAGAATTTTAATAGCTTAAGCATAAGAATAGATAAATATAGTATTGATTTAAGTAAGAAGATTATATTCTATTCATACTTCTTTTAAAATGGTAAGAAGAGTATTAACAATTATATGATATTTATATAATTTATTAATAAGATTTTTTTATAAAATAGAGTCTATTTTTTCTAAAAATAATATTAATAATTATATAATATTTTTTATTCAATATTTTAAATTTTTTCTATAATTTTATTTTAACATGATAAATTTTTAAAAAGTTAAAAAAATAAACTTATTATTATTAACAATAAAGTTATAAAATCCTTTTATAATTCTTTTTTAAATTATATGTTGGCATTAACATCTAAATGTTGGTATTTGTAAAAAAATAAATATTCATCAAATCTTTAGAATCATCTTATACTTAATAGTTTCAAATCATACTAAGTTTTATGCTATTTATATTTTCAATATGAATTTAAAGAGGTTTGGACTTCTATTAATTTGGTATGAATAAATATTTTAATATATTTATTAAATATTATTACTTTAATATTTAATTGATATTCTTCTAAATTTTGTTAAGTGACTAAATTTAAAAACACTTTTATATAATTTAACTTATTTGCTAAAAAACATGCATTAAAATAAATTAAGGCTATATATTTAAATAAGTGTTTTTTCTACTATTTTTGTCTATTCTTTATTATCAGTTCTATTCACTTTAGTTTTAATTTTCAAGGTCTAATTTTTTTTATGATTTTTAAAGAATTATTTTTTGATAAGATAAATATAAAAATGTAGTAGAATATTTGAATTAATTTGTGATTCTCAATTTAATAATGAATCTTTTCATGAGTTCAAAGTAAATTTTTTTTATGTCTTTAAGAAAATTTATGATTTTAATTTTAGTTCTTATTTTGCATATGTTTGTTAATCAATAGATAAATTTAATGATTCATTTAGATCTAAATAAAATAAGATAGAAGGACTTTTAACAATTGAGAAATATTTTTATTATTTAAAAAAACTTAGATTAATTTAATATTTTTAAGATTTTTTAAATAGTTCTTAATTATCTCTTACAAAGTAAATAAATGTTTTTTATTGTAATAAAATTATAAGAAATCATTCAGAACTAATAAAGGCTTTTAAGTAAGTAAGAGATATTTTATATATTTTATTAAAATATACATGGATTATTATTTTTTTAAATCATCTAATTATATTCAGAGGTATGAATATCTTAAATTTGTAATAATTTTTTATAGGCTGCATAATAAATCTTGATTCTTGTTCACAATATGGATCAATTTTAATGTATAAAGAATTCTTGTTGATTTTATTGTAAGAAGTTTTTTTTTATAATAATGTTTCTTTATGGCAAGAAATAAAAGGCTACTTTTTTTTGCTTTAAAATAATTATAATAATGTTAATACTTTATGTTATAGATTGTAAAAACTTTTATGATTTTTTTAAGTAATAAAAGTTACTAATATGTTTTTTGGTTTTAGAATAGTTATTTTGCAAATAATTTTATACAAGTTTATATTTTATTTATAGATTACTATTGTTTGCCTATACTTGTTGAACATGATGGTAATACCAATATCAATTGAAAAATAACTTCTTAATTTATCAAATCCTTTATAGTTTTTTTTTTTTAACTCTTAAATTCTATAAAATATCAAATATTATATTTACTTCCTATTGAGTAGTTTGATATAAATATTTTTACTTCTTTTAAAAATATAAAAGTTGAATGAATACAAAGATAAATGTAACCTCATATATAATTCCTAGTATAAAAATAAAACCTTCTTATTTATAGCACATGTATTTTTTGGTTCTTAAATATATATACAATCCCAGTTATTTTTGTCATTAACAACTAATGCAACAACTTAAACATTCTTTTATTTTGTAAGTTAATGCTTTTTGTATGTTTGGTAATTTCAACAAAAAAATCTTGTTTGATAAGCTTATACCAAGTGGTAAGTTTTATTGCAATAAAAGCATTTTATTGTCAATTTTGTAGACTACGGATTTTTAAAAACACGTCTTTTAAAAGTTTTATATATTATTTCTTTATAAAAAATTATAAATATATGGAAAATATTAAAATTGTATTCTTAATCAATTTTTTTTTTTTTTTCTTTCTTTCTTTCTTTTTGAATTAAACTTGTTATTGGAATGTGACACATGTTTTCTTTTTTCCTTTTTTGTTAAAAATGATTAATTAATTTGTTATCAAAAAGGAATGAGCTCATTGCTCATCTCATTCATTCGGAATCCAACGTTGGACTGTTATTTTTGCAAGTGTACTTGGTAGAAGGCTTCTCATCAAGGTGAGAATTGCTTGATCATCTGGCTGGATTCAAATGTATTATATAGGATTCTGTTTGAATGGCTCACACCGAATGAATGAGATGAGCAATGGCTCAGCACAGGTGAGTGTTGATCCCGCACCCTCGTAACTCCTTTTGTGTATAACTGTGTCATTTAGACTCTGTAATTCAGCACCTACCGACATGATACGCATTTGCCTGTTCCAGAGACAAGCTGCACTCAGTATTTTCAGTAACCACTGGTCCTTTTAAAAGCTTGGTGTGCATGTATCGGCATACCATGTAGTACACTTGCAAAAATAACAGTCCAACGTTGGATTCCGTTACTTGCCGTATCCTAAAAGCATTACATGCAGTTAGAAAAGGTACACAATTGGGCGACATAAAACCGCCACCGCATATATGCACCTTCTCTACGTGTTTATTCTGCGCTCTTTTTGTGATTTTCTTTGGTTCTCACAGGATTCAATTAGGCATGATAGGATGTGCCATCAAAAGCTATCGGTTCAGAAGAACGGAGATTATTTTCCGTCCCCCACCCTACACTTAGAATATTTCGGCAAACATTAATCGTTTAAGACGAGCCTATTTCTGATAGACCGTGCCACTAATATAAGAGCGCCACAAAAACTTTCTGAATCTAGCGTCAACGCCAAGAGGAATCTTCATGGAGACTGACCTTCATTTCGTGACCAAGTCCTCTGGTTTGTGGTCTGCAGTTGAAAAACTGGCTCTGGGGCTGCTCCATGTCTCCGAGCACTGATGAGTTCATGGGGGACGGCACCGACACCGGCGGATTAGCAACATGTGCAGTCGGGTAGTTCATGTTGGATGCCCAGAAGGAGCTCCCATCCGTAGAGAATTGCAATCCCAAGAAGCCGGAACTGACAGCCTTCGTGGACATATTGTCCAGTTCTGGAGGGCATTTGAAATCCAGCGCTGGCGGCGCAAAGGTGGATGGGTGACAAGAGGTAGTGAACGGTGAGTTCCTACTTGTTTCTTCGAGCCGAGGCCGCTTGATGCCTTGCCAGGGGAGAGTAGACAATTTTGAGCTCACTCGGCTATGGCTCAAATATTCTTCTGATATTGTTGGTGATTTGATCGAATTTACTGTCGCACACCCCTGGCATGCCGGATGTGCCTTCTTATGCGCCACCAAGTTGCACTTGAAGGCAAACCTGAGGCCGCACTTGCACTCTAATGGCTCCCCGCACAGCTTCTCATGATCCCGCACGTCAACCTGAAACCATGCCATCAAAAACTCAGTACTTCCAAACAATGCCCAGTCATTGAAGATAAGCAAAGCTCGTGTCTCTCGTTAGCGACTGATTTGCAAACTTTATTAGGGCTTGATCGAAGAGCGGATAGTACCTCCACATAAAATCTCTTCCCGCATTTGCGACACCCAAAAGGCTTCTCGCCCTCGGAGTGCTTGCGACCGTAATGGCGCCGAAGCTCGTAAAGACCGACGAAGGTTTTCCTGCATTTGGGGCATCGCGACGGAATTTTTTTGTTCTGGCCAGCCTTCAAAGAACCTGACGTCAAGGTAGGCAGCATTTCGGTGCCACCCCTGGCTATCGCAGTACTGTTTGTGTAATGCGTCTTGTGATGCATCTTCATGGTTTGTGGGTTCTTGAACGTCTTGTTGCAACCTTCCTGGCCGCATCGGAAAGGGCGGCGATTGTTGATCAGGTCGACGGACACTTCGGCTGCCTCAATGTTGTTGTCAGACGGGTCCTCCAGCTTCTCCAACCTCTGTAAGTCCACACCATCCCCGAATGTTATACTTGTACGCAGCCCGAAAGGCTCGGGAATGCGAAGATTTCTCAACCGAGATGCGTAGGAAAAACAGGTGCGAATGATTTACCTTCATGTTTAGAGGGGGGGGTTTATATTTCTCGATCGATTCCACAGGTACTGTTCCAGACTCCAGACTCGTGCGTGAACCATTGTCACAAATGAGTGATAGTTGAGCCGGGATTGCGAAGAGTTCCTGCTCAAGGAACAGCATCTCCTGTTGTTGGGCATACTGATTCAGCTCAAAACATCTTCCTGCTTCAGGAAAATCCGGCGCGACCATATTCTTGAGGGCGTTGACAAAATTGGGGTGCATGACCATTCCATTGCAAGATCCCTGTTGCAGAAACTCCGAGGCGTCGTCCAAGAAAACTTCATCTACTTCGATGGGAAACTTCAGGTGAGGCTCCTCGTCCGGGAGAGCCAGAAGTGTTGCAGCACTTTCACGGGAACTGCAGGAAGAGAGATAAGAGTCGGACCAATTCGATTCAAACATGCTTGAGTTGTCGCCGGAGCTGCTGTAAACTGCAACATTCCTTGAACTGTCGATGTTGCGGTGGAGACTACCAGACTCAGGCTCAATGACGTTATTGTAGAAGTACAGAGCGGCCATGTTGAGCTAGAGAGCTCAAAAGCTGAAGAAGGTTCAAGTCAATATTCCCTTCAATTCTAGAAAAGCTTGCAACGACGTGGACTCAAGTCGACCACAACTCACAATGCGCTCGTTGTGCGCATCAGCCAGTTTAGTATCTTTCTTTTTCAGCCATCTGTGGTTGAATCAGCTAACTTGAATAGATCAGGCGTCAACAAAAGAGGAATCTTCACACTTTGCTGATAACAGCCTAGTTTGAAACCATGAGCTTTCTGCGCCCCATTCGCACGGGGCATCATAGTTGCTGCCAGAAACTCACTACTTCGGCAGTGAGATCCATGTGCAAGAATATGGATCTGGAGCCTGGTGGAGATGATCGAAATGCCTCAGAGTGTGAAAACCCTTGATTGACGGAGAAATGAAATTAGGATGGCGCAATGCTACATCCGTAGCATTGTAGAAAGTATTCCGGTGCAAATTCTCAGATCTGCCACTCTCTGTTTCAAGTGGACACTCTGGAGCGACTTATCAAAAGTGCTCTTTAGCACAAGCTGCAAATACTGACTGAATCTCAGTAAAATCCTACGGGGTGCCTGTCAATCCGAACTAAAGTGATATCTTCTTTCAAAGCCATACGAACTAACTTTTCCAAATGCCACTCATGCTTTACTAATGTCACGTCAACTCCACTAGCAGTTGGCAACTCTGATAAAGTTCTGGGTTCTGAAATGAAAGACTTCACACTGATTCATTCAGGTCTGCAACAAATTATTCTTCGGTGAGCTCATGGCTAAGTAAACCCACGACACGCTCAATTGAAATCTACTAGCACTGAATCACAATTCTGTTATCAAGCAAGCTGAGCTACATCAAGTATTAATCACATCTATCTCTCTCTCTCTCTCTCTCTCTCTCTGCATGTTCAGCCGATATGCTATCAAATAAATCCTCAAACACTACAGGATCTACACTCTGCACGTCTCACACGCTCTGCACACTCACTTGAACTGCAGTAGAAAACCAAAAAGGTACGGAGTTGTTGCTACTTCAATGTAAACGCAACCATTCTATGTATGATGTGGGCGAATGCAGGGACATTGGGGACATATCTATGTGACTTGTGCGGTTTTTCAACTTTCCGAGATTGACTTAGCACTGACAAAATCGTGTAGGTCTCCTACTTGTGGTGAGCTAACCTAGCAGCCAGCAATGGTGCATTCTTTTTCGAGGTTCTCCTGTGGGTTACTGCTAGGGAGGAGATTCACCCGGAATAACATGCTCGTTTCCGGGACAAACCAGGGTCGCATAGAATCTAGCTTTTGCTTTGCTTAGGTCAGAATGCTCCATAATAACAACCTTAAGATGCCTCTCTTAAACGTTGCCTTTTAACTTTCTCAAGAATGTACTAACTTGACCTGTCAGATATCCTCTCTTTTTTGGAAAATCAGTGTTATATGAGGATTCTTGCAATTTCGCCGGTTGGCTAAAGATCCCTGATTCCAAATTTGAAGATCCCATTTCTTCCTCACTAACATCCGGAGGGAAATGAATGCACTTGGTCGACAAAATAGTTTCGATTCATTTTTCACCAGATAAAATAATAAATCCACCGGCAGCCAACTTCGAAACGGCTTACTCTTGAGACGATTGCGTTTTCTGGCAGCAACAGTAAGCTAGGTTGCACAATTGCCTTGCCACTTGAAAAGGAAGTGCTTGAGTGAATGCCATGAACAATGCTTAAATAGAACCGTAGTGCTTATAGTCAATGCCACGCTACCCTCTTCTTAGAACTGTGAGTATCATCAAAATCCTCTGGATTGGAAAAATTAGAACACACAACAGCATCGAGCGAGTGGGTGTGACTAGAGAATATTGTTATCATCTGAACTGCCTAACCAAAACAAAGATGACCAGAAAGATGCCCAAAGGCAGCGAACCTGGCAAGTATTTGAACGATTAACAAACATATAGATGACGTGCACTATGATAAGATATCAAACCCAGTTTCGCGATAGCCACCTGAATAGCAGAAAAACGAGTCAATAGTGGACTAAATTTCCTTGCTAAGAAAAAAATAAATAAATACTCACGCACACACACACACAAAAACAAACACAACCAAACAAACAAACAAACAAAAACTGCGTGGGCACGCTATGACGTTTCATCGTCCATGCTCATATTCTCTTGTTTCATACTTTCTCTCTAGTCCTGGTGTAACAACAGTGCACTAGTTAACATAGTGGTTTGTAAAGAAATTTGGTCAGCATGAGTTGACCCATATGGCTATTCTAGGTTCAAGATGAAATCTAGATGTGCAGAGAGGAGAAAAAGAACTAAAGAACTAAAGAACAGCGCGGATCTCGACTGAAAGAGAGGGTATAGGGGGAGGTGCACGTCGTCCATCATGAGGCTGAGAGGGCCCTCTGGGCACAATCCCACCCATATTCAGTGCCCTCAGTCTGTTGAAATCTTGTCGATGCCTTTGTCCACACTTGGAAATTAAGGTCTCTCTATTTCTGTTTCTTTTTTGTTTTTTGGATGTGGGTTCCACCTCATTTTAACTGAAAACTGTCTTCACGATTCCCCACGAAAGCTCTCCCTGGCTTTTCTGTGCAGTTCTAACTGTATGCTACCATGAGTCCGTCTCACACGCTTCCATGAACTCCCACGGTCACCATTCTGAGCCTACGACCATTGTTTCATTCAAAAGATGATCTGGTTTGCGTTGCCATTTTATGCATTATTTTAATTGTGCTTCTGTATAACATGCATTTTCTGAATCAAATCACTTTTTCATCCCAGTGTTCTTTTACCTTCTTAAAGAAAGGTAAAGAAAGAAAGAAAAGGTTCATTCTTTTTTGAAAATTTTCTGCACTAATTAAGAATTGGCTTGTGTTTACTGATGTCCTACTGGTTTGAATGTCTGATTGAATGGTCAGAAGGAAAGGAATGCTCTCAGTTCCAGACAACATATCTTGAGAGTTTTAAGGTTTAAGATTGAGTTGAGATGATAAAGTTGAGGATTCAATCTAAGCTGTGGACTTCACTAATGGGTCATTGATTCCTTATTAGAATAGATGTAAAGACAGTTTACAACATAAGTGGTCAGTGTTACAAAAATGTGTTAATTAGTGGAAGTACTTTTTTTCCACAATGTTTGTGATATTTTCTAAGAAAGTGTGAGGAAAATTGATGGATTTTATTTGGTGTGTTGAGAATCTTGTTAACCAAGAGGGTGGATCTAATGTCCTCTAATATTTTTTGCCTTTCTGCCTACTGTGTGGAGTGACTATTAACAATAAAAAAAAAAGTTCGATTTTCTTTCAAATTCAAACAATTTGCATTGAAGACTAATGTTAGGGCCAAACCTATCAACTATCCTTTTGTTTAGTAAAGTTGACAAGCAATTAATGAAACAAGAATGGAATTATAACTGTGTGCAATAAAAATAGCCTATTTTACATACGTAAGCAATATCCTTTTAACATTGAATTGTCATACTCAAAATTTTAAAGTAAATATTGAATACTTTTACATAATACAAAGCTGGCTATTGTATTATCTTGAAATGTACGTTTAAATCCATGTTTGTTAGAATCTAAGGGGAATTTGTTTTGGTATTAATATCCAAGGATTATGCAAATGATAAGATTGCTAGAATAGTAAAACAAAAGTCTTCAAAAGACCGGCTTGTGTACACGTGTTAGATATAAATCTGAATTACCATACATCATTGCAAAGTTATAGAGCCTTAAATTCCCAATTTCTGGACCCAATAAGGATGTTTAGAAAAAGTCATAAACTTACATCAATTCAAAACGATTATCCCAAAGTTGTAATCGAAGTTGCATTGAAAATAACAATTTTACAGTTGGTTTTTGCTCGACAGCCGGAAAATTTATCTTCAGAAACAGAAAATGTTATTTTTGGGCAACAGCAAGACCAAAAAACATAATATAGCACTGAAATTAAGGGAAAATTTAGTTAAGAATTTCATAGAGCCACAGGTTGGAATCTAGATCTTCAATTCAGCTTGAATCACTGGGATCGCTAAAAAAAAAAACATGCACTTATCCTTAAAATGAGGCTATTGGGGTAAATTGACCATTTTTACAAAGATATTTGATGTTCATTCCTTCAATACTAATGTATTCTTCTACATTTTGTATTTCTTTCTTAGCATAGATGTTTAAATGTTTTTAGAAAATATCTAATAAAAACCCAAAGAACATCTTGATAGATATTCCCTTGAGGAATGTCAACATAGCTTATGTTGGCATGAACCAAATTCCCAATAAGCCTGACCAATTTACCCTATTATGGGACTTGGTATTTTTGTGTGCATTCCTGGTTTTGTGAGTCCTCCCACTTCTAAATTATGTGCCACTTACCTCTGCATTAACCTCTTGGGCCAGCACTGATCTTTACAAATTACAAATGACCACATACTTATCAAACAAACCAACAGTCCATATATGACCATTATGGATGACTTCTACTGACTCCATGTGTCTTGAGTGGGTGTGTGTGTGTATATATATATATATATATATATATATGTTTCCTTGAGTTGTGCTTGTAAAAATGTTTCTATAGTGGGCAATAAAACAAGGTGTTCTATGTATGTGTGGATTGTGTAGGGTCTTTTTTAGAAGGTGATTCATGAAATTTCTTAAAATTTAAATTCAAATTAGAAGCTCCATTTCTTGGGTTTTTAATAATTATTATTACATTTTCAAATTTTTGTGATGTTTTGATTTACAAAAGGTTTTGTGGAGCATGATATAGAATAATAAATGTTAACTTAGATACTGGTTTTAATCTTTGTAATAAAATTTACCAATTAATATGATGCAAACATAGCTTTATAAAAATAATTTTGAGATTTATTCTATAGAATTTTTTATCTTTTTAATTTTATGATAAATAAATAAATAAATAAATAAGGAAGACCTCAAGCCTTCCAGATTAACCTGAAAAGCATTAGATGAAATACTAATAACTTTGATGAATGATGGGGTAAAGCAAGAAGATTGTCTATTCATATCACATGGACCTCATACATATTATATTTAAAGTTTGTTTGAATGATTATTTCATAAATACGTATTTTTAAAGGGCACAAATATGTTGGTACTTTGCAATGAATTCAGTGACCTCGTTGGAGGTTCCACACATACACATAGCTGAAAGGTTTTTGATTGCATGACAATCAAGGGGGCATTACAGCAAGCACACCACTAAATTTGTATAGGGTCATTGTGAATGTGGTACACAAATGCCACACCTTTGGCATGTTTCACAAAGGATTTGAAGCTTGAGAATTTCTTGTTGTCCAACAAAGCTGAGGACACACAATTGCAAGCAACAAACTTTGGTCTTTTGACTTTCCTCAGTGAACTCACTTCTGAACTTCTCCACTGCCAACAAGATTTTAAAAAAGTTCATTAAAGATCATTGCACAGAATCTATTTAAAAAAGAGATCATAGGGATAAGGAAGCTCTTTGAGTCTATAGAAATCAACAACAAGGATATAATGACATTTGAAGAATTCAAAGACAATTTACTCACACAAGGTGCAAAACCTAAAGAATCTAATACAGACAAGTTTATAGAAGCTTTCAGTATAGATTAGAACAAGAAGGTAGACTTCAATCAGAACATATCTACAACATTGCATGTAAATAGGTTTGAAATGGAAGTTTTTTTCTTTGCAACTTGAGTCATTTTAATGTAGATAGTATCATATATATTACCATTGATAAGCTACAAGAAGCAATAGAAAAGAATGAAATATGAGACACCTACAATAGTCTCCTAAATTTTTTGCCATCAAAAATCTTTGGGACAAACACTAAGGTTGTCACACATCCACTTTTTCATAAGTTAATTTGTTATTTTGTTTTACTACCTTAGTGAAACTAGATTCATGAAGTATTGTGATAGATATAAATCTCACGAAAAGTCAAAAAATAATACACTCACATTGTCAAAAGAAAGAATGTAGACAATTAAAAGATAGATTTAGAATTAAAAGTAGAATGGCTATTGCCAAATACAAAAAAATTAGGAGGTCTTGAACCAAGATTGAGTAC